TCGTGTTTTAGCAGCAACAAATGCGACGTCAACTTCGCATCCTCTTTTCATGCGCAGATACGCAACGGCAGCATAGGCAGTGGCGCTTGCATCGGCAAAAACATGTAATTCTACATCATCGGCTGATGGTAATAACGGTGAATAACATCTGGGAGTAGAAAATTGTTCCACACGTTGGAACTCCTTCCACCAGGCTGCCCAATAGGCTTGCATTTCATACGGAAGCGGCTCATCCCATGTTATTTGCATCTTCCAGGTTGCTTGTAATAAAAGTTTGGTGTATATCATGAAATTAGCTAAGAGTCCAAACGGATCGTAAACCGACATAACGATTCCAAGCATCTCTCGTTTAGTTGGTGGGCGTTTACATTCCAAAACGTCTTTTGGCACTTTATGGAATTTGAAATGGAACTCGAATGTGTCTTTGTTTGTGTTCCAAAACATTCCCAGTACTTTCTCGGTACTATTTCCTCTTTCCAAGTTGAAGCTTTCTCCTTGGACGACTTCATCGTTATTGAGCTTGGCTTCCAAACTTTTGCAATTCGATACGAAGTTTCGAAGTTTAAACCCGGCGGCAGCATTAATGCGAATGGCTTCTAAAGTAATTTCTTCGGCTTCTTGCGTGCTGTCGAAACTAATGACGAGGTCGTCAACATACGTGTTTTCGATAACAGCGTTTGCGCCCATGGGCATCGCCTCCATATGGCCTTCAGCGTTGACGTTTTTCACGTGCTCAGCGCAGCATGGTGAACACGCGGCACCAAAAATCATCGACACCATTTGGTAAACTTGAATCGGCGTTGAAACGCACCCATTCCTCCATAGGAATCGCTGCGAGTCTTGATCGGCATCGCGTATTCTGACTTGCGAGAACATTTCCTGTATATCACCCGCTACAGCCACAACACCCTGACGAAACTTAGCGATAATCGTCCAAAGCGGCTGAGCGTGCTCCGGTCCCTTTAGGAGTGCCGAGTTCAGTGATATGTTCGACGTAGCGGCGGCAGCATCGAATACAATGCGAAGCTTATTCGGTTTGCTTGGATTCACCACTCCAAAATGTGGCAAATACCAAGTGGTAGGGCTTTCACAGTTAGCTTCTTCAGGCTCCAACAATCGGGCATATCCCTTCGCGATATATTTGTCGATTTCTTTTCTATAATTGGCGGCAAAGGCGGCATCTCGTGTCATTTTGTTCTCAATGTTGAGCAACCTCTGTTTGGCCATGGCATAACTTTTAGGCAAATTTACATTTTCTTCTCGCCATAGCAGACCAACTTCGTATTGCCTTCCGATGTTTTTTGTTGTTTCAGCAAGAATTTTCTTGGCCCGGGCGTATGAATCAGATTCGAGCACAATGTCAGAATTTCGTACACCAAAACTGTCGGCAGCAAAATAGTCTTCGACCACCTTTTGTAGCTCCTTAAGCGCTTGACCCTCACGCAGATGAAGTACACGTGGCTCGGCGTTGCTTCGTGAATTAGTAGGACCAAATGCGGTCCAACCTAATTTGGTTAAGGCTGCGATGGGTTTGTATGGCCCATCCTCTACAATGTGTTCTGTCACCTCAAGGAAACAGTTATCCAAACCCAACAGCAGAACAGGCTTGGCATTATCGTAATTTTTTATCGGCAGCGACTTCAAATGTGAATGATCATCTCGACAGAAAGTTTGTGTTGGCAGATTTAGGCTTTTGACTGTGCGTATGTTCTTTATATCATACGTTGACGACTTCTCCGCATGACCCTTTATGGCCAAGGCTACTTTACGTGACTTCTCTGTTGTCCTCTTGTCGTCATACCATTGCAGTGTGAGTGGTGCGGCGTTTCCTCTAAGGCCTAGGCTGTTGGCTACCTTCTCCTCAAGCAGCGAAATCGATGACCCTTCGTCAAACATGGCGTAAACGGAAATTCTTCCTAGTGGACCTGACAAGATGACCGGCAATATCTTGAAAAGGTGTGAAAGAGAGCGTTCTTCGCGGCAGTTGAGTATGTGCTCCCTTTCTTCGTTGTTTGGCGTGACTGGCTTTGGAGGCTGCTTGGCCTCAGAATGAAGTAATTGATTATGCAGGCGCACGCATCCATTTATGCCACATGGCTTCTTTTTAAAACAATCGGTCAGGCTGTGTCCAACCTGCAAGCATGAAAAACATAAACGGTTACGTTTTACAAATTTCCACTTATCGTCT